AGTAACCATTTGTTTGTTTTCGTCACAACTTACGAAGTACTTATGATAGGCGTTTTCAGTATTTGCTGTATATGAAGCATCATATACCAAAATTTCACATTCCTAACTTTCCTAACTTGTTTAGATTTTGAGAGACTCCGTAACAAAAATGGTCTAAAAATAACAGCTCTGGCATCACCCCATTTCTTTGTTATTGAAAATTTTATTTAAAAAAACATTGAAAATTATATTTATGTCTTACTCAATAAGCTCTAGAGAATGATGTAGGTATAACACGCTGGGGTAAAGAAGAAAAAAAAAGTCTCCATTTCATTAATTTTATTTAATTTTTAACTAAATATTCGTCTTTAGGTAAGCATTTACATACTCTAGTATTACTCGCATAATACCAAATTTTCAGCTCTGTAACTCATTCCTTTTACGAGCTAGAAACTCGTGGCATAGAGATACGGATTCCTATAAATAAAGGAGGTTCTCCATACATGAAAAAAATGGCGTTTTTGCAAATCGTAATAGATGTAGGCAATTCTACAATCACTATCTTAGTTTGATAGTTATGAGATCCTACATTATTATTTTTTAATTAAAAAATAATATCATCATCATCAGCCTATTAATGTCCCCACTGCTGGGGCATAGGCCTTCCCTATGGATGGAATAGGGAGATTGGGCCATGACCCACCACGCGGGCCCAGTGCGGATTGGTGGGTGTTAACGACTGCAGATGCAGCCGGGACCAACGGCTTAACGTGCCTTCCGAAGCACGGAGGAAATCGAGATAGTAAATTTTTGGTCACCCATCCAATGACTGACTACTGCGAAAGTTGCTTAACTATAACGATCGCAGCTGAACGCGCTAATCACTTGCGCCATCGAGCTCCTCGATCGAGAAAAAATAATATAAAAATATGAATTAGCTTACACTCGCTTGTTTTCAATACCTACAAAAAAAAGATAAAGCTATTATGCTTGAATAGATTCGGAAATTGCATATTATTATGTTTACACTTGGGGTGATGAACGGTCAACTTTCTGAACACATCGAGCCCACAAGATACATTAATTTAATCGGTGTTGTCATAGAAACGCTAACATGGTTTGGAAATTATGCAAGGGCACATAAGTGTTTTTAAGTGGTTTGTTTACGGGTTATGCAGGGTGGCAGGAAAACTCGACCTACACCTTGAAAGGGGGTTATACTAGGTTCATTAGCAATAAATCAAGTCCAACTAGGGGTCAAAACTGGATGGTTGGTTATGAAAGTTGATTATGGTATAGTGACGGTTCCTTGATTTATTAGAACTTTTCTGACTTGCTTCCAAAAACCATTAATTGTGAATAAATACTCCACTCTAAATATTGAATTGATTTTTTTCTGATAGCTGAAAAATTTGTGATCATTTAAAAAAATCCTTGCCCAAAACTTACACAATGTCAGTAATAAAAGACTTAAGTAACAATATTTTTTATTTTTTGTATTTTTTCCCGAACTTCGCCGTAATTTTTTTGAAAATAATTGTATGGAATTGCTCTTTGGGCTCTTTCTTTTATCATAACGATTGAACGTCGACTCGTTAGTCTAAAGATATTTTTTTTAGATAATTTGGGTCTTCAATCTTAGCATTAATTAAAAAGCTACAAAAACCCATCCTCCTCACAGGGACACTCTCTGCAATGGCTTGAACTGGTGTGTAGTGTTAAGGATAAAGGATTGCTGTATGCGCTACATACCGGGCTCTCCAATGCGATATACCCAGTCATATTGCAACTTACCTTGTTGAAACAGAAGGGTATGCTCGAAAGCACTGAAGAATTTCATCATCGTCATCGGCAATAATAATGGGAGGTCTGCCATCGTCGTTGTAGCGTCGTTAAACCGATACCGTTTCTCGGATGCGCCGATAAGTAGAACCAAACACGCTCATGTCAGGTACACGACGATTAGGGAAACACCTTTGATACTCTCTTCGTGCTGCAGCGGCGTCACCATCACAAAATCCGTACAAATACACGATGTCTGCGTATTCTTCATTTTGGAAAGCAGCCATTACACAGTAATTTAATTATGAACAATCTGCACTCCATAGACAAAGTTACCACAATAAGTTGAAGGCCAAATTTTAGTACAGGTATTATGCGGTTTTTCCATCTACCGCTCCACATTATTATCGTTGTAAATGCCTATCACTAACATCGCGTTTACTGTCTGTAAATGAAATTTAATAAAATGCAACGCATAAGTTTATAGCTCAAAATTGTAGTAGCTGAGTGTTTTTATTAAGTAGTAACACATTATGACAGTCATTATGACAGTATTTCAAGTTACAAATCAAAATGAAAGTTTGCCCTACAGCGCCCCTTTGCTGATTTTAATAAAAACAGCTAAGAAAGTTAAATAAAGATTTAATGGGTTATTATACTAAATTTATTGATTTATTGATTCATACATAGACAATAAAGTTTTAAAAATCTTCCAATGAAATATCCGAACGCTCAATAAGTCTTTCGAAGGTAGCTTGACAAAGTAAATAAAAAATCATTATTCTGACTATGTAGACCTGAATAGGCTGCGAAACGTCAACCAATCAATAAATTTAATGATAGATGTGCGTGAAAACCTTAGACAGTTAATAACTTAACTAAGTCCTTTTATTTCTGCGATTATGTAAGTTTTGGGCAAGTTTTTTTTTAATGATTTTTCATCTTTCAGACATTTGTCAATTCAATGTTCAGAGTAGAGTAGTTTACTCACAATTAATGGTTTTTGGTAACGAGTCAGCTAAAAAATCAAAGAACCATCACAACTCTTTCACCCCCACCTTTGACCCCTAGTTCACTGCACTTAATTTGTTGCTAATGACCTTCAGTGTATCCTCTTCTTTCAAGGAATAGGTCGAATTTGCCTGTCACCTTGTATGTAACGCATATATCAAAATACCCACCTAAATCACGAGATTTAACATGTGAACGTTATTGCATGGTCTCGGAAAATATCTGTCATTTTACGTAAATTTTTTTTTAATACTCACACCAATTAACCTTTCCTCCAAGTAAGCACTGTAAGGCTTATCTTATGGGATACAATGGAAATGGAAATAATATACATATATATATACATATGTATATTTACTTATATGGAAATATATACTTTCGGACATATCTATCGGCCCTCTTCACTACATAGTACAAAGCAAAGTCGCTTCCCGCTGTCTGTCCCTATGTCCCTATGTATGCTTAGATCTTTAAAACTACGCAACGGATTATGATGTGGTTTTATTAATAGATAGTGATTCAAGAAGAAGGTTTATATGTATAATACGTGCATAATATAGTAGAGAAACACTGATAATTTTAGAGGTTTTTAATGTAAGGTCGTAAATAAACACATTTTTTTTGCTTACATTGCAAACGCTGGCTGAACCCTACGAGATAGATGAAAATACTGTACAGTATTGTACACCTTAAAAAGGTCTACAAAGAAGTCCGCGATAGTATATGTCTATCTCTTAGGGATAACCCACAATAACCATTTTTTATCCTATACTTTTTACGAGAAATAATAGATTATTTACGAAGCGATTTTCAGCAATATAACATTCCTAATCCAATTAAGTACCTTAAATGCATTGTGCATTTAATATGGACCAATTTGTCCCGTTAACGCATGTAATTGAAACGAATATTTTCGAAGATATTACAGATTTAAAATGCAGGGACATAGCGGTTCCTTCGCTACGCCCGGTACCGTAGGGGGGCTTGGCGGCGCGTGTCTATTGTAATTAGGTATTAAAAGAATGCCATTGTGTATAATACAAGCCTGAGAACAAAAACTATAGTTTACACTACAGCTATACACCGAAGCGAAGCGAGGGCGGGCCACTAGTAGTATTATAAGTTTCAACGGTCTGTAGCAAAAATAACGTTTATGATTGGGCAATAATTTTAAAAACACACGAAAAGACGGTTGATAAATCAGCTTCACTTATTCACTACCAAACTGCGTAAGTAATAACTTTTTGCTCAATGTAACATTTATTTTTAGCTAGACACTATCTAAAAGGCTAGGTGGGTCGATAGATGTGTCCGGGAGGGTAGATAAACCATCCATCCATCCATGACTTTCATAGGTACAGAGGCTCGTATTCTTCATACTAACATTTGCCATACCGGGATTCGAACCCGAATCCTCTGAGTAGGCGACACCTTTAAACGCGGAGGTCGTCAATAAATGCACGAGAGATGGGGTTTCAGAGATTGAATTTTTAATTCAATACGCGTCTCATAGCCACTCATTCTTTTTAGTTTAGACAACAACGACATTTAAATAACTTTTTCAAAGCATTTAAATAGTTATTTCTTTTATGATTTTTCAGCACGGCAGATTTTTGTATAATGATAAAATTGTGAATTGTGAGAGACATTTAATAACAGCGCGACTGCGGTTATAATCAACTTGTTAATTAACTGCAGTCCATTTTAATGATCTCCAAAATTAAGTACTTTGCATCGGTGCCGACTTAAAAACCATTTGCCGTATGTCAACGCAAAATTTCAATTCATGTTTCTTTCGTGATAATTTAACGTTGTTTAGACACGTTTTCTTAAAAGCAATATCACATAAACAGAGGATTATAATAATATCCCTACTAAGGTCCCTTAGTTTCTATTAGGCTCCTTAAATTAAGATAAGATCATTTATATTAAAAAATAACAAGGACTGATTGTATTGACTCATAAACACTAACTTTTGGAAGGATGTTAGGAAATAATTCGACTCGAAACTTGATATTAGTAAGTCCTAAAGATGTATAAACAAACGTAGTATTTTAATCTAAAGAAATTTTTACTAGAAAAGATTCCCAGCGGACCAGGGAGCAGACGAGTCTCGAATAAAATATAAATCTAAAAATATAAACGTAGTATTACATGATTTTCTGGAAATCAACCCTTTGAAAGCTGAAATGCGATTAATTCTGTATCATATTCTTATCAATGCCCAGATCAAAAGCTTGGACCTAGAAAGCTGGAATTCGCGCAGAGGTTCTCTAAAAACTTCGTATAAAACGTGGTAAGGCGGCTGATTTAGGTTTACCTGACTGACTCATCAAAGCCTTGTTCGAAAATACTGCTTTAATAGTATTAAGTACACACATCAAAAAAAGTTTGAGATCACTTGCAAAGGCTGATATATTTTTAAAATTTAGTTTAAACAAGAGAAAAACGTTATATGTTTTTTATTTAAAAATACACTATCTGTATTTAAAAAGTTAAAACTAATTTTATTTTTTAGTATAAAGAAATTACTACGCTTTATGTTTTAAGAGCATTTCCATTATGATCTTGACCTATTTGCCGGCACTTAATAATATACTCACTTTGACGTCCACTGCTAATTGGCTATCTCCAGCTCTGCAACCGTTGTTATTTTAAATTATCTGACTGGGGAAGGAAGCTCTGGTAAATGATAGTTGAACATCGATGTTAACTGGGTTTTGTTATTTTAATAATAATATTTACGGAAGAAAATTCTGGTAAATTTATTAGGTTATCTTAGTCTCATTAATAAAAAAAAATTGCAAAACAAAGCTCTGGTGAATGCTTGGAATATTTTCTGTATTACGGGGTCATAAATTTCAGAATAAGTGATTTGATTATTATTTACTTACAATGATAAAATTGATCGGAACAATATAATTATCTCAAATTAGAAGAATTTGAAGAATAAATCTCTGATTTAAAAAGACAAGTTTTAATCGAATGGCTTACGTTGAGAAAAATACATAACGTCTCCTGTGTTGGCGGAGAAGAAACCACATTAGTTAAACCTGATTCAACATTGTCACATGACCGCTGATTCCGGCATTTCCTTCCTCTGCCATATTTTTCGTAAGGAGAAGCTTAGACGTAAACAATCCACCTTTAACGACTATCTTTGGTGTAGATGGTTCTATTGCACTGCGCTTACAGATTTCCTGAACCTCTACATATAAGGTAGCAATACCTACCAATTAAGGTAGATTTTGTTCGTTAGTTTACTATAATCTAGCCAGCAGTATAATAGGATTAGGCTCAGTTAATTTATTTACAGTTAACAGAGACAGATTTTCAGATAACAATTCTGGACTATACAAGTAAACTATATTCTCCGTATACCATATGATGGCTGCGCAATTACCTACTTTAGTCGCAAGCACTAGCACTACCTACTTTGATTTCTGACGCGTCAACTGAGGTACCCTTTTCATTTCTGTTAATAACCTAACCTAACACTCAGATCGACCTAACCTCATTCCCAGTATATTAATCACATCAGACGCAGAAGTAGTCGCAATCAATCATGCAGCAACCGCTTGCCATGATTCGCCATGCAGCAGTATTTGAAGTCGAGCTTTTCTTCGTAATTAGGTCCGACAAATGACTCCGCTTCACCTAATGTTAAGTGACAGTGGAGTTGTACAACAATTCTATCCGCCACACCAGCCATCCTCACCTTGACGGCTTGCATAATCGCTTTTTCACGCCGCCTTTAAAGGATCCCGGGATATAGGAAGAAGGGACAAGTGAGCTGGTAGAGCGTTCCATTTCGGATAGTGCTACAAAGAAATGAGTCACCAAATTTCTTTCTTCGCTTTGGAATAGTGGCCACTATATGTCGGTGACAGAGGTTCCTCTGAAAGAAGGGGCTAAGTTCTCTCCTCAGAATATTGACCTAATCTTTTCGTAATGTTTTAGGCTTTTTTGAAGCACAACCAAACCATAGAATCGCCTAAAAAAGCAGGTAGGTTATTATCAATGAGCCTGCCTAAACGTTTATCATTGTTGTAATATTATATTATATTATATTATAATTGGTATTATAAAAGCTTTACAAATTGAGTTAGTTAAAAACATTTGTAATAATTATTCTCAGAAAATTCATTCTGATTTTATGTAAACTTTGCGTTCTGCCGCTAATTATTGGGATTACTTGCATAATTATTATCATAAATGTCAAAAGTAGGTGGGTGTTCATTTGCATCAAATCGTGATAAAAGTAAATAGGTATAAATACCTCAACTACTTTGGTAAGATTTAAATAATGTTATTTGGTTTTCAGACCTAGATACCTAATACTTGTTTATTTTATACTTACTTATTATTTATTTCACGACCAGGGGGCCATTCGCCTAACGGAAATGCTTTGGAAAACGCTAACGCTTACGATTTCATTTTGTTATTTCTAGCCGCCTGAGGTTTTCAAATGCCTCGCGCTCTTTCTTTTTCTTTTGCATTGGTGATATCAATATTAAAAATAATGAGCGTGAGGTATTTAAAAACCTTCGGCGGTCAGAAATAACTAAATAAAATCGAAAGCGTTAGCGTTTTCCAAAGCATTTCCGTTAGGCGAATGGCCCCCTGTTGGCGCAACGGTAGCTCTCCTGCATTCAGCTATATAAGAGCTGACTCACAGTAGTTTAATTATAACATACGCCATTCATAACATGTTATAAAATCTGGACACAACAATAACCCAAAATGACAACGGCTAACTAGAGTCATGGTCTGAGCCCCAGAGACGCCCTCGCTTTAAGGAACTGAAGAGAATATTTGTCTTGAGTATATGGTTTAACGTAGTCGCTACTTTGTGCAATTTAGTAATTTCCATATGGCACAGGTACGTAAAAATTTTACTCACTTACAGTCAAAGTTTAAATTTGAAATACCTTAACGCATTCACGAGATAAAGAGTCTTGACAGGAAAAACGTCTGCAAGTTTTTTTACGATCATTTCAAGTTCGAGTTTTTCGCTGATTCAAAAGACCATAGACTTGAGTATATGGTTGAAATTTTAACTCCATACCTCCACGACTTCTCTAGATAAAGGCTCTTGACAGACAGACGGACAACAAAGTAATCCTGTAAGTGTTCCATTTTCTTCCTTTTGAGGTACAGAACCTGGACGCAGCCCACCTTGATGCGTCCCTGTACCACAAAACCTAAGTAGCATAACACTCGTGTGTTATGCTACGCCGTTAACAGCGGATGTTAATTTGTGTAGGAATATAGGTACGACAACGCACTGGCATCCCCGCAACCGCTATCACCTATAGTCATAGCGTGTGCCTAGGGCAGGATTTAAGGCAGGGCAGGTGGGCCTTGGCCCACAACAGACATAAAATATAACCAACGGGTTTCCATTCCGGGGGCGGGATGCCAGATCTTAAAATAGGACCCCACTCTTTCGTTGCCCCAGGGCCTCCACGTTTAGTTACTTAGCCAACATAGTGATGTATTAAATTATGAAGCATCAGTTAATATTACTAGATTTGATTCTTTCATTTCACCTTTCAATAAGAAAAATCAATTTAGCACAAATGACAGCACAAAAACGGCTATGTCATTATTAAAATAAATTCAATAATTATGAAGAATATTCTTGTCAAAAGATTTATGCGAGGAAATTTATAAAGGACAATGGGCAAAATTGCATGGACACTGCACCCACGTCCGCCACGGCTTAAACTACATTTGTTTGAAAGGTATCATAGTCACGATCATTTGTGCCAAAGCGCATCAAATTCCATTCCGGGAGTCTTTAGTTATTTTAAGTTAAATAGGTACAATTCCATAGGTAAAAGTAACTATAACGAACATAATATTTAAAGATACAAGGACGAGTATATAGAACGGATATATTAATTGACGACCACGGAGGTCGTCAATTAATATATCCGAGTCGAGTGGTTTGTACACCGGGTTTCATGGTGCCGCTGGCTCGAGAGGTCCCGGGTTTGAATCCTGGTGGGGGCAGATGTTTGTGTGCTGAGTACGAGCATTTAAATTGATCCATAGATTTTTTATTAGCTCGTACGATTATAATGACGTACGCGATGATAATCGTGTTCCTATTTCTAAAGCGTGTTAGTTAAATATCAATGAAATAACAGGGAGCGCACAAAATGTAAGACATAGGACTGCATACGAGTAGACTAGTTGCAACGGCAACTGCAATATCACATCCTTCAACCCCCATACCCTGTTAGACGTTTTGAGGAGTCTCAGTAAGTGCAAGCAGCAAGCAAGCAGGATAGTCGGTAGGCTTTGTTGTTTAGTATTTTGTATCTAGTTGTACAGTAAGATATGATTCACTCACTTATTATTGCTAATATTATAAAACGAAAGTACTATTGATATTGAATGAATTTCTTTAGCTATTTAAATATAATCATCATCAGCCTGTTAATGTCCCCACTGCTGGGGCACAGGCCTTCCTTATGGATGAAATAGGGAGATTGGGCCATGACCCACCACGCGGGCCCAGTGCGGATTGGCGGGTGCTAACGACTGCAGATGCAGCCGGGACCAACGGCTTAACGTGCCTTCCGAAGCACGGAGGAACTCGAGATAGATGTTTTTGGTCACCCATCCAATGACCGACCACTGCGGAAGTTGCTTAACTTCAACGATCGCAACCGAACGCGCTAACCACCTGCGCCATCGAGCTTCTCTATAAGGAGCTATTTAAATATGCCCGTGTGTAACCGGTCCCCATGACTTACACACAAAGGTCGTCTATAAGGACTATGTGCGGAAACCTTAACCCCTAATATAGAAGATACCCAGGTGTATATCTTTTGACCCCCAGGTTATTTTTTTTTGGTGCCATAATAAAAAAGGCTAGTTTTTCATAGATCTATCGATTCATACTAATCACATTGTTGGCGGAGCTGGGTGCGTTTTGCCCATTGTCCTTTCGTACCCCGTCACCAAAATATAGTGTCACAGGCTTGTATTATACACAAAAACAATCTCTATGTATATATTTATATATAAAACTCAAAGGTGACTGACTGACATAGTGATCTATCAACGCACAGCCCAAACCACTGGACGGATTGGGCTGAAAGGACATTGAGCAAAAACGTATGGACACTGCACCCACGTCCGCCACGGCTTAAAGTATATTTGTTTGAAAGGTATTATAGTCAAGATCATCTGTGCCAAAGCGCATCAAATTCCATCCCGGGGGTCTTTAGTTATTTTAAGTTAAATATGTACAAGTACTATAACGTACGAACATTAATGAAA